AGCTAGTATTCTTTGGGTTTCATTAGTCATGACATTTTAAAAATGCACAGGAACGTTTTTAAAAAGTTTAGAATATACAACTTGATCAAAATTTGAATTTTTTACCAAAGTTTAGAACAGTCTGAACGCATACAAGTAAACCTTTTAGCTAAACAGACAGTCTCAGACAGAACTGAATCTCTAAGGCAAGCTGGAATATTCCGCCGAACGCACACGTAAACCGCACAGAAATTTACGTCCAAGAATGACAGATGTGAATGGGACGTGGATGCTTTTCTGCCGCGTGTGCAGCAGATTTTATTTTACCGCGCCTCATATTGGCTGTGCTTACCTAAGCTTTGCTTGCATCACTCCAGGTATTTTTGATGCACAATGGGGGGGGGGGGGGGGCGGTTAGATATTAAGTGCTCGTATGCGGATTTAACTTTGCATGGCTTTCTTTTCGCTAACGTTGAGACTAAATCGGGGAAAAAGTCCTTTCCTTACTAAGCTTTCTTTCACTTTTTTTTAATTTTTGGAGAATGCAGTTGCTTCACTCAACTCCTCTGCGTCGACCACCTGCTGCGTCTAGTGCACTTCGTGCCTCGTACAAGAGGCAGTGTGGAAGAGACCGAGTTTGTAGGCTTCTCTCAAATCTTTATAATTACAAACTCACCAGCTTAGAAAAAATTGCTTTGAACTAAGTTCGCTGTAACTTCTTTACGAAAGATCAATGCACTCCAAACCCATTGATGTCTTTTTTCCTCTTATTCGACCAGTATACATTTACCGGGCCATAAATTCAGACTGCGGCAAACTATGCTTGGACGAAAGCCAAACAATTAAAATTAAATCCCTTACAAAAATAAAGCAGTACTTTGGTCTTACCTGACAAAATTGTCATATGTAGAACACGGTTTTTGGTTGCCAAATCTTGTTCAATTATTTATATTCCGAAACTGTACACCGGCTTCCGACGGAAAAACCACTCATCGCCGCTTTCGTCACGTGATCGCTTGAACCAGCAAGTGGGAGTGAGGCACTACCACCAAGCACGCCAGGTGTAGTGGTGACACTATTGCAATAAACCCTAAATGACAGATCTACAACGTCAACAAAATACGCTGAACTGGGTGGGTGATGCCTCGTCCACCGAATTTCGTAACTTTTGCTTGCAGCTTTTTTTTTATATAATGCTTGAAAAGGAAAGGTTTTTCACTATACTGTAATGTATATGCTAACAAACTCTTGCATGTGAAACTATGCTTATCGTGGAAAAGCTACTGCTCTGGCTTATAACCTGAGAAAAATATTCCGATCACATTCATAAATTGCTCAAAGGAATGTTTATAATGCCTTCAGAATAGATGTGGTTTCAACTCAATCTTTTGTATTTTAACTGGATTCAATATAAAATATTTTTCACAGTTTATTCTCGTTTCTTTTATCATTATGTTATGACCATGATTGAGCTGTATCAGCATTTTTCCTGGGAAAAGAAAAATGGTCTTCCTCTAATCAAAAGAAATCCTAAAAGTAAATGAAACTTTTAAAAGTCTACTTGCAAAGTAAAGCTTTAAGCGTTTCGAGAGCTTACAATTTCTTTTGTGTAATTTTATAAGTTAATGCAAAACTTTGCCATGCGGAGAGCAGATTTAATGTCATCTTTAAATGAAGGCAAATTTCCATCAGGCGCGATTAAATTATACGTCACTTTTTTTAAAACTGGCAAGAGAACAAACAGTACTTAACACTTTCTTCACTGCAGAAACAAGGAGTCATCGGCGGAACGTTTTAATGCCTTAGCATTAGAATGCTTGTTTTGACGAAAACCCGGCGGTGTCTTTCGCTTGTCGGAGCCGGAGAGAGAAGGAGAAGAGGGGGAAAGGGTAACGCGCGCTATGTTCTGATTGGTCCGAAGTGCTGACGTCAGCACGCGTCAACCACTCCCCCTCTCCCCGGCGCTGACAGACTGACTGACACCGCCGTGTTTTCTTCAAAACAAGCCCTCTCCTTTCGTCAAATTCATGCGCACAGCGGCACAGCGGCACAGCTGGCACGCAGCCAGAGAGGAAGAGGCGCCCTACAACACCTCCTAGGTAACAAAGCCATAGTGCTGAATAGGATGGCGTCTTCAGAGAAGGCCAACGCTGGGCACAGATTGGAAACGAGTGCTGCGTCAGCGCTCAGCTTCGAGTCAAGTTTGAGCTGAACCTTAACGCAATCGTCGTGTCCAATCTGTGTCTCTGATAACTCCGTCTCATTCAGCCTTAATGCTTTGTTATCTAGGAGGTGTTGCACCGCGGCGTGGTGGAATACGGACGTGCTCAGTTGCCGCTCTGCCATCGCCGGTTGTTCTTCGCTGTGATGTGTGTCTGTAGTTAAAACGATGGATGCAGTTCTTTCTACAAGTGATATGGATGCGGTTCTTTCCACGAGTGATATGGATGACCGCAGCCAAGGGCGTCGGCATACTTTGACAGGCAGAGTACAAAAAGGGGTAAAAAATTACAGGAAAGGCCATTGGTGAATTCTTAGAGAATCCGTTAGTATGACCGTTGGGAAACACCACAGGCGTCTTGCTTTGGGAAACGCTAACACTGACCCCCTAATGAGGCCAAAAAGGGGCAGCAAAAAATAGAGGAAGCAAAAGAGAAAGGCCAAAAAGAAAGCCAAAAGTGAAAAGTGAAGGAGTCGGCATTAGGGCTGACCCATCATCCACCGGTGATGCTAACGCATTCGCTAAGAATCCACCAATGAATCTTCCTGTCAATTTTTCTGCCCGAGTTACTATCTCGCAATTAGGAAGTTGCCTTAACAGTGCGATTTTTGTTCACCCTATTAAAGTTAATCACTTTTACGCATCTCTCCACAAGTATCACAACAACGCTCCAGATGTCATTCAGGTTATATTTGCTTGAATATGTAGTAATTCTGAAATAATTATTCATATATTTTTGCTCGAAGCTCGACATGACTATTAAAGCAGAATGATACTACCCAGAAACTAGATTGGAAGGGTGAAGTCTCAAAAATGTTGTTTTTGCTCGAAAGTTATCTAGCAAGGTCGTTTGATTACGTGCCTCAAAAGCGAAGCAAGCACAAGGTTGAAATTTTGTTAGTCTTTTCTCGTTAATTTCGTTAACCAGTAAAAAAAAAGAGAAGTTAAAAGAACATAACCAGAAAGTCAAGTGATTAAGATATTGTAGTATATGGAGACGAAAAAATTGTTTGCAAGATAGTAGGACAACAAAATTAAATTTTACACATAAGATTATTCAAATATGCTCGTGTCATGTAACCATAAATCGACGTTTCACCTACAAAGCTTTTGTCACGTGAAATTGCGCCCCCATGATGCGAAAAAAATGCGAAAACACAACGAACTTTTCCTACATCTCAAATTTTATGCTGATTAAATACTTAGGATGCATTAACAGGATCACTCTGAGCGGATGTGCAGCCTTACCCCGAATGGTCGAAGTAATCTATTGGTCGCTCAAACGACTTTTGCAACGACTGCGGTAGAAATATCCCCCGACGAAAAAAGTTCAAACTGTTATTTCTCACCAGACACTCGTTCCGTTCGGCAGGAAATTGGTTCAACGAGTGTCGAATAAGCGGGACATTACAGTCCGAGCACTGTGTGACCGTGTTAGCGCGAACGCGACTGCGAATCTTTTTCACATTTCCTTTCTATAAAGTGAATGGACTGGTATAACATTTTACCGGCAATGTTGATGCCGCAAATAGGTATTTTCAGCCACATTTAGGTCACCGTCAGCGTAAGAACAGCAGGGCGTGTGTTATTATCTTCACTTCTCTTGCCTCATGGCTCATTCTTCGGCGTTTTTATCCGCATATGTCAAATCTCATTTAATGTAGAACGATAATGAGATACTAACGCTGCCCGTAACCACGCACTGACAAAAAACAATCTGCGAGTTCGCTTTTCCGGACAACACTCAGACAGTCAATCAAGGCGAAAAATAAAAGGGATAAGATCCGAGCAGACGACGATCAGCTCATCAGACGATTAGATCTCAAAATCGCAATGTGGGCTGCCACAATGAGCGAGTGAAACGCCATTCTCATGGTCTCTGGGTGTCGATTGTATCTTTCGTCTGTTCGTATTTTGAACTTCCTCATTCGCTGGGATTTTTGTACTGTTTGACGTGATTCGTTGCATCTGTCCGAAGTGCAGGAAAGTGAACTCTTATGCGGAGCGCAAGTTCGTCTGCTTCTTTTGCAGGGGTTGCGGTGACGTCAGAACAACGTCGAGTTCTGATTGGCTCTGATGGAAGAATAGTGGGTAGACCCCAAGGCAGCTTGCTTTGAGCTCCACCCACTATCCTTCAATCAGAGCCAATCAGAACTCGGCGTCGTTCTGACGTCCTCGCGACCCCCGCAAAAGAAGCAGACGACTTGCTCTCCGCATACTACGTTTCAGGCGCTGCCGAGGCTGCGAGCTAACTGGACTGATCTGGCAGCCTCAAAAGCGGAAGTCACTGGGCCTTTTCTATTTATGATTAGTTTAGCGATGATAGAAAACGTATATAGAAACACGAAGAACACCATTCCATGATGGTGCACCTTTGACGCTGTCCTATTGGTTCATCAGCTCGTAGCATCGACTGCGTCTGAACGAATAATGCACGTTTTCTTTGAGCGTACACTTGAAAGAGTCTGTAGGGTCTACTTTTCCGTAAAGTACTTGATAGAGCCAATTGCTGCCGCTGTGAGTGTGACGTTTCATCTTGCTCAGTGCCAGAGTGTCTAAGCACATGTTCAGCCTCGTCAATGGGCCAGCTCCCTCGATAGATTTCAGCGATGGGCTCTTTCAAGTGCTCTGCGTGGAAGTAGACGCACTGGGATCTTCAGAGTGTAGCGTTCGAAGACAGCCTTTCGATTCTAAAGAAAGTAAAACTGTAAGTGCGGGCGATCGCTCGTTCGCGCTAGCGGTATCGAGCTATGTGTACATGGAAAGCCTATAAGCGAGTGAACGAGTCAGGCGCACTTACGTCTCTGAACTGCACGAGACCGAGTTCCCCCAGCTCGGCGACGCAGTTGAACGCCGCCTCGGACTGGATGAACAGCTGACACAGCGTCATAGGTTCACTTCGGAACAGTGAGCCCATGGCGGATGTCGATGAAAGCACTCCGGAATGGAATTTTCACTCGATAGAACGTCGTGCGGGAACCGCGCGTTTCGATGTGCTACGTATACGAGGACGTTCTGAGATCGAATGCTGCTTCCCCTTCGGTCGCGCTCCGCGGCGTTTATCTAATCTCGAGACGTGAGTCGGAGGGAGAGACGCCCACTTGGCTACGAGAGTCGATCGTATTGTGCTCGATGCCTCCCCCTCGGTCCATTGTTCGCTGCTCTCGAGAAACGCCCGGGAGTCCCAAGTTCATACGAGCGAGCGAGCGGGTTTGGCTTGTTTGAAATGGTTTATTTAAGAGAGCGAGTATCCGACAAGAATGTCACGTGTATTTAAAACTTAACACTTTAGTGCGCTGGAAACTTAAAATCAACATTTTGCGGTGACGTCTCCTACTTGGGCCTTAAATCGAGCAAAACAATAAAGGGTGGGAGGGTGGGGGTCATGGTTTAAAAAGGTTCGAAGAATTTATATATGGTGGTCCGCCATTTCACTAGAACAAATCTGAAATCCGCTTATGAAGTTTTTACTCCAAAAGGACCGAACGCAGATTTTTTACATATGGGTGCTTGTCACAGGCGGGTCTCGCATTTGGGTGTTTCGCCACGCTCAGACGCCTATCGCACCAGGAAACATTATAGAAACTTTTTTGAACACATAAAAAAATGGCCCCAAAATTACGTTTTTATTTTGAACGTTGTTTTACAAAGTGAGACCGTAACGTCTCTCACAATAATCCAGCTTATTCGCATCATGATAACGTTTGTTATGTTCAAAGCTGTGGCAAAAACATCATATAGCAAATTAATGCCTCAACGTATACCAGTGAAAATAAATAAAATACCTTCGTCGTAATGTAAAGTTACCTTAGCAAAAAAAAAGACTTCCAGTACCAGAGTCATTTCTAAATATAAAAATGTTAATGTAAACTTTAACAAAAACATTTTTTTTATTTATGAAAAGCTTTTCATTTTCATATGACCTTAAAATCAGATATTATATTAGGGTGCCTCTCAAAACGCGTCCCATATTGCTCCTGCGAAAAGTGCACATTCCACAGGAAAAATGTTGATATCCAGTCCGTGTCTACAAGGGCTAGATGAATAAAGTAATAACTTTCGGTATAATCGGGTCACTGACCGCTTTTGAGTGTTTCACTTTTTACTTAAAATATTAAAAGGTGGGGTTTGAATTATAAACTCTCTTGGCACCATCGAAAAACACTAATCAACGCACCTTCCGAAAATATAAGGCACGCGCAGCATTTTGTGGCGTTCCAAGAAACGCTGTAATTGCGCAACAGTAATCTTTATCGGGAAACATATGCGGTGAGCGCTATATGTACTTCGCGTTGTTATCAGGAGCGCCTTATTATCAATTATGTGGTCCGGACGCTTGTTGTGTGCTTGTTCTTTATTGAAACGAATGCTGTGCTGGTATGTTCTAAGTGTGATATGCACTTTTCTTTTCAATCACTGAAGGGTTCTTTCTTTTTTTACCCCGTGAGGACGACGACACAAAAAATTTTCAGAAATCCGCTCTGTGAGTCATATACAGCTTGGCTGTAATAAAGCCACTGACCATGGAAGTGTATTACTCTGTAAATCACCAAAGATTGTCGTCATAACCGAAGTGTGACTGATGACGAACGAAGTCACCAGTGACTTTGTCATTCCACCGAACTATTCATTAATAAGAAGTTATAGGTTTTCATGGGGAAGCGGCGTTGCTATGGCAGTTAAGATAGATATGCGTTGTACAATATTGGAGCGCTGCTTGTATGAATTTCTGCTTTGCAAAATCAATTATGGCGGATTTGATTTTCTCGCAGTTGCAGCATACCGTTCCTAGTACACCCAAGCCGAGTATTTAGACTAAATTCAGTCTTGCATAAGTGCGTTAATGACTACACAAGAATAATTTTAGCAGGAGATTTTAATTTATCCTATGTTGATTGGGAACTTTTGCAAGTTGGAAGTGTAGACAAGGTGAATGATGAAAAACTGGTTGAGATTGTCTACAACCGCAGTCATCCCCGAACGGCTAGAATTTACCAGAGTAACTGAAGCAACCAAATCTGTATTGGACCTAGTCTTTCTAATTGATACTGTTAATGAGTACGACGTACCTGTGATCGACGGTCTAACTGATTATAAGATAATTTTATGTCTATAGACAGTAATCAGCAAATCAACAAGTCTATACCCTACAGCAGTGGTTCTTAACCACCGATGTTTAGCGGACCCCTTGTGGGTCGGCAGAGATGATCGAGGACCCCGTTCGGGGTGAAGGGAGGGGAAAGGTATAGGTTTAATATATTAATGATTTAATAATTGGATATAACTAAGAGCTAGCGTGAAGTAGATTTCTCTTACGGACATACACACTAGAAAACGCGCACAAAAACTAAAACATTTCTTCTCGATCTAAACAAAAGACAACTTTTATTGCCAGGCTTTAGGAATGAGGCAGGGCTTCGAGGATTCCTAGAATGCCTTCGCGGACCCTAAAAGGTCCGCGGACCCCCATTTGAGAACGACTGCCCTACAGGACTCCTTACATTTTTTTCTAAAGTGCCGATGACACAAGCGTTATTGGTCATTTAACTAATTGGTTCAAAGAGTTTGAATTGCTATGCAGCACTGGTGACATTCAGAGTGCACGGAATAGCTTCATGGAAATAGTCTCTTATTTCATTAATAAATACTTCCCGAACTGAATTAAAAAAAAAATTAAGAGGCTTAATTCCTGGATCGCAAGAAACTAATACAAGTCACACGCAGGGCGAAGCGGTGTCGAAAAAAGTGTGGTTTAATGTCAATGTGTGAAAACTAAGGGAACAACTTATAAACATAATAAAAGAAGCAAAACATTTTTTTCTTAGATCATTAGAATTTTCTTACGAAAGATAAAAAAATGGCGACCGTTAATCCCTAGAAAAGAAAAAATAGACCCCTCGCCAAATGGAAGCGATCATAAAGCCGTAGTGCCGCGCGAAGCATTTTGAGAAACCTACGGCACTACATTTTGGTTCCGACCGGCAAACCATGCACACTTGACGAAATCCCGTCACGACTAAATACATTGTTTGCGCTTTCGGATATGTGACCTTTCTAACATTTATAATACTCTAAGCATTGCCTACCAATACAGATAGAATCCTGTGATACGTTTTTCTGGGCTGTGCGGAGGCAAACACAGAACTACGATAGCAGATGGAAGACGAAGACGTACACTGGGCCAATCCTACTCCTCTGTCTCCCCTCATGCCCTAGGCTTCTTAAATTATCCGTGCGCCAGGAGGCTTATGCTGCACTCTGGAGTGGTAGTTAGGCCCCCCGAAAGTTGTGGGGCGCGGCTGACCGTATACTCCTACTAAAGTTGAACCTTGGATGAGTTGGTATGACATAGTTGAAAAATCAAACAGCGCAAAAAACGAGAGACCAGATGAAGAAAGCACAGATACAGGCCTGGCTGACAGTACTGAGTCAGCGCTGCCTTTGTCTTCCTTCATCCGGTCCCTGTTCCTCCGAGCCACTTCAATTAGCAAGCAATACTCCTCGCTAAGACATAAGGTACACTTACGGCCACTGAAGGTTTCTATTTCAACGGAAGCTCTCACGGAGATGAGTGGGGGTCATGCAAGGGAGCGCTGACCTGATTTCGGTGCAGTGTTGGGATGCTCAATTTCGTCTACGGGGCAATCGAGGCCGAAACCATGCCACTTCTCTCCGTCATCAAACGGATCCCATTTTAAACGCCCCGCACCGTTCCGTGCAGGGATTTTCGGAAGTAGTGTATTGACTAAATCACTCTGGGCGGAAGGGTAGTTGGGTGATTTCAGATAAGATCGACCAAAAAGTGCTGGTCTACATTTTGAAATCAACTGATGTTTTTATTTGCCATTGTCTAGTGTCTGGTATAAACGAATCCACACTTTGTTTCGACCAGAAGAAAACATTTGAAGGCAGGAAAAATCGTAAGGCATGAAGGGGTGGACAGTTGCATTAAGGAGGGGGCATGTTTGAAAGTGAATAACTAAAACGATAAACTTATGAGAATTTTAATACTTTTTAGAAACGAGCTATGGGTACAGCTTGCTTGTAATATAAAGTAATAATACTTATTTAAGTTAAATTTGTTTTTCTAAAAATTGCCCTACATGACTGCTCGAACGACAAATGGCAAAATTTGGAGGCCTGTATCTCATGAAATAATTCAATCAGCATCATATAATTTTCAGATAATATTCTACTTTTATATGATTATTATTTGAAAGAATATATAAAGTATCTGATTGATATGATAGTCGGTATATATTAAGGCAAACATGGGAAAGAATCAAACTACGAAACATTCCGATGCGAATAAAAGAAAACACCACCATTGATTTTTTTTCAGTTTGAGCACCCTGTCACATTCTATTTCAATATTCATTTTTATTAAAAACATGTTGCATTATTTGATTGAGAAAGAACACACAACTCCCAAAATTAGGGTCCTTTTTCAAAGCCTACACTTAGCAATGCCCTATACGAGAAGTGACTCTCAGTTCCAGTTTCAGGAAACTAACTCAGATCTTTTATACGTTTTTATTTTGCGGGCATCTTCTACTCCGATTCCCACAAACCCTGTCTCCGGATGAATATGACACTTCAATGCTTCGCTCTCGGCAAAAGGGTTTATTCACTCACTCATTGCCTTGGGGGGTTTCGGGATCGGGGGACGGTCATCAGCGAGGCCGGGGGAGAGTCCGCTGCCACAGCAGCTTCTCTGAGTCCCAGCGGTGGTCGTCCACACCGCGTCATGGGGACGTCGTCGTCCAGGGTCGCTGTCCGGTCCGCTCGTCGAGTCCGCCACTCGACGTAGTGCCCGCACTCCCCCGCGCCAGCGTCCAGCGCCGTCCGAGCTCGCCTCCGTGACCGGTCCCTTGTGAAGTCGGCAGCCCAAGCCCTCTTCCTTTGTCTCCGTTGCCCTTCTTAAGACCTTCCCAAGTCCTTGTCCCGCCGACCGTCCAATCGGGAACCTGCCGCGAGCCGATCCTCCGACGTCAGCGCTGGGTGAGGGGGGCGCTTGCCCCGTTCCTCCCGGAGAGCTCGGACATTCCGCGACAGGCCGGCGACTGGAAAC